GCCGCACTGCCGTTTTCGGAGAGCGCTGCCTTTTCCTGGACAATTTGGCATCTAAAACATCTATCCGTGAGTACCCGATCCTGGAAGAGCTGAACTACTTTTAAGATTGGTGAATAAATAAATAACATTGGACTTGAACTTGAAATTGAATTTAATTGGGACTCGGAACGGAAAGGTCTAAACAGGAAGTCGCCTTCCGTTCTTTTGTTACGTGAAGAAAGCAAAGACAAATTATACTAAAGCCTGAAAACTAAATTCTGAGAGAACTAAAATTCAACATCTAAGATTTCTGAACCCCCTTTGATTGCAGGAGAAGAAGGGGGTTGTTTTGATCTTTTCAACCCTGCGGAAGTGAGTTTAAAATAAAGTAATTTTCCACCGCCCTGAACCAGGAGCGGGCTGTCAGAACTGACGTTTTGAAGCTTATCCAGCTCGACAGATAGTTAAAAGAAGGGTAACATTTTGATTCTACTGTTGCCTCTTGAATTTGAAAGGGGTAATTTTGGATAAAGTGTTTCTGGAAAAAGAAAGATTGTTACTGTTGTTTTTCCCCCTCTTAAAAAAAAAAAAAAAAAAAGGGTTTTCCATCTAGTGGAACTGAGTGAAATTGCAATGCAGAGAGTTTAAAAGAGAAGGATCATTCTCGTGGGAAAGAATTTTTTCTGACCTTGAAGGACAATGCTTGTACAAAGGCTTGAACAAGTGTTCCTGGAAGGTTTTGCAAAATTAAGTGCCCAGCTGGACCAGATGCGTCAGGAGTCGACCTTGATGAGGACGGAAGTTACCAGAGCACAGCAGCAAACAAATGAAATTCAGTTAAAGTCTATACAAGTATATGAACCTGCTGTAGCGACGGAGGCTTCAGAGATGGAGGGACCTATGGATGGGCAAGATCAGTCTTTGAACTTGATAAATGAACTTGGGACAAACCTGATTCGGAAAGATGAAATGTGGTCAGATTTGGAAATGGGGGGATGGATTGACACCCCTCTATATGGTTATTTGGACTTTCCGAGTCTAGTGATGGGCCATCAGAGGAATGGAGTAGTCGAAGTCTCCAAGTTTTGTGGAAATTGGAAGTGGTATTATCTGCTGTCTGGCTTGGGTAATGGGTTTGGGATGGACTTGCTGCAAAGAGTCAAAAGCATCTTCTTGCTGGAGTATCCACGACTGAAAGGGAAATATCAACAAGAGTGGCGAAAGGGGCAAGAAAGAGACTTGAGGGCCTCGGATACGAGACAACCAGGTTAAGGAGCTGGATTATTGAGGTTAAAAGGACTGACAATCCCGGGTCCAGGGGAGGGAGGCTGGAAGTTGACTGGATTGAATCTGACTTATTGTTTTTGCTTTCTTATTTTTAATATTGGGAATGTTTATAAATGTTTGAAGGATGTTGAATGAAATTATATGACTTAAGTAAGGATTGGTAAATGATTTGAAAAAGGTAATGATGTAAGAATTTGCTAAATATTGAATATAAGCTTTGAGTTTTAAAGTTTTTATATGACAAGAGGGAAAATAGAAAAAGGATTTGCTGTAAAAATTAAATACTAAGAAACAAGAGAGGGAAGGAGGAGGAAGTCTAGAAAGGAAGTTAATGGAGATCGTAAAGGATTTTATATTTCTGTTTTTCTGTTTTTCTGTTTTTCTTTTTGCGGCTGGGTTTTTTCTTCTTTATTATTTCTGTATTATTTTTGTTTTATTTGTATTTTCAAACTTTTTTGGAAATTTTTGTTGTTACTTGTTACTTTTTGAAAATTTAATAAATATCAATTCTAAAAAAATAAAATAAATAAATAAATAAAAAAAAAAACAGAGGGAGACATTGTACCTCTAAGTACCACAGTGCCTAGAACAAAGCCCTATGGTGATCCAGGTGACCGCCCCCCTCCCCCACCTGGTTGACACAGAGTCATTAATAATAATGGTACACTTGCTCAGCCAGCTGTGGTTCTCAATACCACCATTTGTATACTCTTGGGCACCCTTCAAAAGCAATTGATCTTAGGGTGGTATGCATTTTTAAAATACACAAGTGATAGGTAGACCTGTGACCCATCAAACTGAAGCCTGCTAGTCAAGCATTATGGCTTGATAGGTGCTTATCACTTCCTGCATCCTCCCACAGACACAACAAAAACAGTCCCTCGTTTATTGAATCCCTAGCAGCCCACACCCTCTGTAGCTCACAGGCTGCATTAAGCATGGAGGACAGCTGTTGTTCAGGTAGGAAAGAAAGCACTCTTCGTTTTCAGCTGTTCAGCATTGCTGTGCAAATTTACTGTGGCCCTAAAAGCACATAATGCAGTGCTATTTAACTGAAATATTGGATAACGCTGCCATTTATAGAATTATGGTGATAGTTGTGAAGAAGCATAGGGCTGCAGTATGGCAATCCAACATTGCACAGAGTTATGGCTGGCTGTTAGCTTCCCAACTAATAGTGCCATTCATAAACCACAATGATGATCACGTTGCACATTGAGCATCATGTTTGTAAATGTACTGGCTTAGGTTGCATTTGCTTGTCTCTGTGCTTTGAGGGTTGTTGCTCCCCCCCCCCCTTTTAAACTAAACCAATACAGCAAAGCACAAACTTATCTATAACAAAGGGGAATTAGGTAGAAAAACATTGCTTTTGTCTCTCCAGTTCCCTGATCTTCGGACAGCCTTATACAAGGGGTCAAAATCCTTGTGTGCCAAGAACACTAGAAACTTATGACATTAAAAAAAACAACAACCCACAATGGTTTATTTTTACAATGGGCATGTTGAGCAGGCAAACAGTCTGACAGATGGTGCCAGCCTAAAGCTGCATCAGATATTAAAATGCACCATGTATATATATACTTGGAACTCCCCAAGATTCTTGCCAGCCAGCTGCTAAACTCATACTTCATTTTCTTCCTTTTCCTGGATACACTTAAATTGTTTCCTTCATTGTTATCTAAGCCAATGGGATGTGCCCCTAGCTGGTAGCCACAAGTGAACAAAGGAGCAAGCTGTGGCACAAAACAGTACAATTTCCATTACAGTGGTACCTCGGTTTAAGTACTTAATTTGTTTCGGAGGTCCGTACTTAACCTGAAACTGTTCTTAACCTGAAGCACCACTTTAGCTAATGGGGCCTCCTGCTGCTGCCACACGATTTCTGTTCTCATCCTGAAGCAAAGTTCTTAACCTGAAGCACTATTTCTGGGTTAGCGGAGTCTGTAACCTGAAGCGTATGTAACCTGAAGCGTATGTAACCCAAGGCACCACTGTACATCTATTAGTGTTCCAGAATTAGGACACTAGAACTCGAATTTCATTGTTGTCCAGGCAGATAAACCCACCTTCCCTTAATGTACAGAGAGGATATACTTGATGGATATAACTACTCCCAGAGACCCTAATTGTTTCACAGACATGGAATGGCCAACATCAGTCTATAGCGGGGGGGGGGGGGGATTAGCATCAGTCTAAATGGTATGGTAATGATCTGTGGGCCATGTCCACTGTCTTAGTTAGTGCATTCATATTCAATGTAATGAATGACAGTCTTGCAATAAGAATATAGTCTGATGGATGGAGCAGCATCACAATAATTACTTAATTAATTGGGAAGAAAAAAATATGGCAACAAGAGGCAAGTGTATGAGCTAAAGTAATTTTTCAAGGAGCAGTCACATAAGCAAATGGACTTATCAGGAATCAACTCCCAACTGAATGAGGTATTTTGCAACGGCTGTTGAAATTTCTTAAGTTTATCCTGCTTTCGTACCAAGTTTGAGAAAGCCTCTCCTCCTTACAGAGGGGAGGAGTTGTGAGTGGGAGCTGTTTCCCGCTTTGGCAGAGGCCGTTCCGGCCCCTGCCCAGCTGGCCTGGCTGCCGCACCATGCCCCCAGGTAGTCAACCAATCAGGAGGAGGCTTGGGGGTGGGGTTTAGCCACTAAAATGCGGCTGCGGCAGCACTTCCCGTTCATTCCACTGCTGGTTTTTATCCCGGTGACATCAGGGGAGAGCTTATAGTTGTATTTGCATCAACAGGCTCCCCCTACTGGTGGTTAACCCACTTTAGACTCACCCCTCCCTGAGTGGGTGGAGTCACGCTCTGTTCTTTTATCCAGTGCCTAAGCCAATACCTCTCACATGCTGTAATCAATAAAGTTGTGGCCTTTTTAGCCCATTAACCTAATATACTGTGTCCATGTGTCTTTCTTATCCCGAAGCGGGTGGTGGGTCCTTGAATCACAAAACTCAGGTTTGGGGGGCTGTTTGTGGCCCTCCAGGCTTCTTTCTTTGGTCCTCAGGACTCCGCTCAGGCCACACCCTTCACAGTCTCTGCTCCCATGCCCTCCCGGAGTCCTTTTGCCTGGATGGGATGTGTTTTTAATGCCAGATGATACTTCTTGTTTGCTTGGATGGAGAATGTTGAATAGTAGGTAGACATAGCAGACAACGCAGCGATTTCTCCAAAGCAGCTCTTTATTTGTAAGCTGGAACAGAACTGAACAGCAAACAGCTCAGTCGGCCTGCTTTTATAGGCAGCCGGGTGTCAACATTGTAGCAACCACAACCCAGGGTTTCCCGCCTAAAGTAACTGACCTGGACCTGAGTGAAAACTATATACACAATACCCCTGGTGGCCAGGGTGAGAACTTCAATACATAACACCCCTCCCCACCGAGATAAGGCATTAATTACAATCATAGTGGTTCCATTACATACAGCAATACCCTTATTGGTTTCAGTAAGGCACATAAGCATATTAATTGACCCTATTCACCATACAGCTTTACATGTGCAGTTTGTCCACTGAACATAGTCTTTTAAATATGGGCTACTGGCCTTGCGGATTTCCTGGGCGGAATGTTCAGCAGTTTCTGAGGCCACGGCCTCCTCAATGGCTTTCTGCAGCGTGAGGTCTGGCTTGGCGAGGAGATGCCGTTGCAGACGGATGTCCCAGACCCCGCAGACAATTCGATCCATCAGGGCATCGTCTAAGTCTCGGAACTCGCAGTGCATTGCAGCCTGTCGGAGGGCGGTGGTGTAGTTGTTGATTGACTCCCCCTCTGCCTGGTTCTGGTGGTAGAACGCATGGCGGGCAGCAATCTTGGACGGCTTTGGTGCGTAGTGGTTGTGGAGCTTCTCTTGAATCATGTCCCATGGCGCTGCCTGGACTGCTAAAGGCGCAACCAATGCTCGGGCCATCGTGAACACCTCAGGGCCACAAGGCTGAGGAAGAAGATATATAGGTGGTGGTTGTGGTGTGTGAAAACCTCTTACGTTGGCATGCTGCAATATAGCCTGCTGTACAAAGAGAAGTGTCGCTTCTGTTGCTCAACCAACTTCTCATCCATCATTGGCATATGCCTCCCAGGAGATGTATCCAATGTCTTTATTTTCTGCCAAAATTGGATACAGATTACAGGCTTGATTGCCCTGCCTGAAGGAATGAAGCCTGCCAAATTTCAGAAATATAGGTGCCACCGTTGTCCTGCAAAGGTGGATGTTTTCAATTGGTGGTTATAAAAGATAAGTTGTGTTCTATTCACTAGTTGTTTGTTTGTTGGATATCAGTTTGCAAACTGGGGGCATGAGGGGTTTTTCCCCAGGTAAGAATCCTGCCAAAGTTCATTCAAAGAGTTCTAGAGGGGTCATTGTGCTGGGAGATTTTTACCTTCATTATAACGAAACCTGAAAGCCTTGATTTTTCTCTCTCACACCCCTTCCTAGAAGTAGGAGGGAGGGGGGAGCTCTATAAGTTATTAATTGATAGAAAAAAGAACGACTGGGAAAGAAAGAGGCCATCAGAGGAGAATGATGGATTACATACTATAGAATCATAGAATCTTAAGAGTTGGAAGGGACCTAAGGATCATCTAATTCAACCTCCTGCAATGCATGTGGGTTTACTTTCACATCCCTCCCCCAAATCACTTGGACTTAATAATTCACTATAATTAAAAGCTGGATTTTTCCAACAAAAAAATATCTCCACACTTCCTCACGTCTCAAGCTCCAGGTATTTCCCTACCCAGCTCAGTTTCCTCTTTCAGAAAGGGTGGGGGTCAGTCATGCACCTTTTTTTTTCTTTTCTTTGAAAGCCAAAGGCAAAGACCCACCTGGAAGCTGGTGGATCCATATGGAAATGCCTTTTTAATGGCATAATCTGACTTTTTTAAAAGAAAGAAAGAAAGAAAGAAAGAAAGAAAGAAAGAAAGAAAGAGATCCTTTCACAAGTCACCCTGATTCATCTTATATTTTGGAGTACACACAGAAACAGAAGATCCCAGGTTCAGTCCCTGGCATCTCAGGATAGGACAGGGAGAGGCTCCTGCCTGAAATCTTAGGGAGCCAATGTTTGTCAGGGTACAGAATGCTGAGTTTGCTGCACTGGGAATAATGCATCTTCCAATCTTCCCGTGTTCCTATTTCACTGTTTTATTTATTTGATGCTGCACAGCATGCAGACTAAAACTGCTACTTTCATTTCCCAAACTAATAATTACCAAATAGATTTGTTGAAGCTTGCATTCACAGAGAAGAAAAGGAAAGTTAAATAATTGATCACACACACACACACACACACAACCCCTCTTGCTAAGTATGTAAGATCAAGTTTCATTTAGGTGTTCTGAGTGTTCTTGGCAGTTCAATAATATGTTCTTTTGAGGGAAATTTAAAGAAATGTATGCATTTCAGAGGCTGAATCAACATCTGTCCTCATGCAACATCTATGAATAACATAGAAAGTTTCTTGTTGAAAGAACTCTTTAGTATAGGAAAGGTCATCCAAATGAACATAGTGCAAAACAAATACAACTCCAAAGATTATTTAAAACAGAGGGTCCTATCTTACCTTTATTGAAAGTAAAGGGTAAAGGGACCCCTGACCATTAGGTCCAGTCGTGACCGACTCTGGGGTTGCGGCGCTCATCTCACTTTATTGGCTGAGGGAGCCAGCATACAGCTTCCGGGTCATGTGGCCAGCATGACGAAGCCACTTCTGGTGAACCAGAGCAGCACACGGAAACGCCGTTTACCTTCTCGCTGGAGTGGTACCTATTTATCTACTTCCACTTCATGCTTTCAAACTGCTAGGTTGGCAGGAGCAGGGACCGAGCAACGGGAGCTCACCCTGTCGCGGGGATTCGAACCACCGACCTTCTGATCGGCAAGCCCTAGGCTCTGTGGCTTAACCCACAGCGCCACCCGTGTCCCTTATTGAAAGTATTATGTGACTATTTGGGCAATAAAATGCCCAAATGATCTTATCTTTGTGTTTGCTTCCCATTGGCTCTCTTTCTCCTCACATTTCAGCTCTCTGCAATCTCAGCCCATCCCATACCTTTGTTCTCATCAGTCAATAACTATGACACATCCCAGATGAGCAGTCTGAAGTTCTCCTGCCGTCTTCAGTTGGGAAGGGATGAGAATTTTGTTTTGCCCTAATTTTAAAGCAACCTAATTTTCACATCTTAGATTCATATAATGTCAGGGAACTGCCATCAGTGCCGGAGGGAGAGAGCAAAAGCCAGAGGGATTCCAGAGAGCGTCCAGGGATCGGGAGAAGCAGCCCATCTTCTGGGGAAGAGAATCAGCGTAGCACCAGTGGAGAAGGGGGGCAGATGGGGGAAGCGGCGAGGCCGTCTCATGACTCCTTGCCTGGGACCAGCGGGGAGAATAAGGGTCCTCCGTTGCCCATGCCCTCCTTGCGCAGAAGGCTTTCGCACAGAGAGAGTAGGAGGAGACTAGGCGTCAAAGAGCTTCTTTGCTGGAAGAAGTTTAAGAAACGCCCACTGATGGATTCTGCCAGCGATTGAGTCAGCCATGGGTGAGTGGCTGTCAGGACAGAAAAGGTTCACTTAGGCAACCCACCCAGGTCTTTGCACCCAGCCGGGGAGATAGACACCTGCTTACGCACGAGCAACCCCTAGAACCATTACATATAAGGTTGGGCTTTTGAAAAGTTAAATAGTTAGCTTATTGGAAATCATGGTGCAAATAGAAGTGTAGATGAGCCCAAAGGCTCAATAAAAGCTGTATACAATCTAAACTCCACATAAGCATTGTGCAAGCAATGGGGTCCCAGGGGAACAGAGTTGCTTCTTACAAGACTGACAGATACTCCAGCAGGTAAAGGGGGAACATTAGGAAAATGCATACAGAAATATGCATTTTAGAACAAATGTCCCTATATATAACAACACAAAAATACATGCAGGGGTTTTTTTTGGGGGGGGGAGGGAGATTGTGCATATAAAATGCAGATGAAATGTATAGATATGTGCTTATGAAAACACGTACAATTTAAATGCCTTGTTGTGTGTGTATGTGTGAAGGACTATACATGACTGAATGCTAGGGCTATGCACAACTTGCCTATCCACCCCATCCAGTCTGGGCCAATCCAGGGAACATTTGAAACAAGCAGCACATGGGCAGCCAGTGCAGTTTTAGCAGAGGTGGAAAATGCTGTCGGCTCTCTACTCCCATTAACCGTCTAGGATAGAACATGTCTATCTATACTACTTTCTCAAACTCGTTCCATATGCATCTCTACCAGAATTCCTGGCTTTCTTGCCAAACTGCAATTTATTCAGATTCCTTGGCATAAGACAAGATTCTCAAACTGATACAAAACCAATACACATTTGTAATGTGGATACGGCTTAAGAGTACAGAAGCTCACTTTATGAATTTGTGAGTGGCAACATTTTAAGCTGAAACCAGAGGGGACTTGGTTACTTTCTGCATTCTCCCCCCCCCCTTTCTGGGAATGCAACCCGCCCGCCCCCCCTCTATATATGATGATGCATTAGATGTGTCTCAATAGAACAGTATGAATGATTATGTGAGCATGTGGAGAATAAACAGCATATCATAATAGAAAGTACTATCTTTATTCCCAACAGCCACAGGAAGGGATCAGCTTCACAAGCCCCAGTAATTGAGAAAACTGAAAGCAGGAAGAATTTGCAGTGATGTATGACCAGCCAGTGCTCCTTTAAAGAAGATTCATTTTCCGTCAAGTTTAAAAGTCTAACACAGAGACATGAGACTCGAAATGTTCCCTCAGCCTTTAAGCAGATACAAGATTTTAGCTCAATGAAAACACGGCTTATCTCTGCCCTCTTTTTCCTTTCAAAATCTTGAGTTGCTTTTGGGGATCACCATAGCAGAAAGACCAATTCTAGATAACCAGGACTGTACTTACAGAATATTCTGGATGAGTAAGCATTACCAGTGTCCTTTCTACCACAGGCTTGTACAACCCTGTCTTTCATCTCACTCTAGAAAAGAAGCTTGGGAAACCATGGAATATCTCTTGACAAAGGGCTCATCCAGTTTGGGGCTTCACCGTGATTTGCTTGCACAGTGCTTATGTGGAGTTTAGATTGTATACAGCCTTTATTGAGCCTTTGGGTTCATCTACATTTCTGTTTGCCTCATGATTTCAAGTGATTTCAAATTACAAATACAAGAGAGTTTCTTCCCTGCCCCCTGCCCACTATCTTCCCTGTGAAAACCCACTGTTTACTGCTGAATCAGAACAAACACCAAGCAGGTTTTCTGGTGACTGATGTTCCGATTCAGCAGTAAACAGCAAGTTTTCACAAGGGAAGCAGCAGGAGAAAAAGTACCTTCTCATATCTCTGACTTGAAATCATTTGAAATCATGGGACAAACCATGTGCGCTGCCTTGCCCCCACATTTGAGGGGGTCAGGGCCACACAATGTCAGCATTCTGTGCCCACAGGCCCATGGCCTGCACACATGACATCAGAATGTCCCACTGCATGTGCAGATGATGTCAGCATGCTCTGTGGTGTGCTCGCACCATGCATGCATGGCCTGCAGTATGCTGACATTGCTTGTGCATGCTGCAGGGTGTGCTGAGGTGTCATGCAAACACCCCAGGGCTTGTGTGCCTGATGTGAGCATGCCCTGTGGCATGTGCACACAGCTGCCAGGGAACTTTGAGTGGGCCTGGACTTCTCCTTGAAATTTTTTTTTGGGGGTGGCCTGCCAGCCCCACCCTAGATGGCATGCCTGGGACAAACAGAAGTTTGGATGGGTCCTTTGTTCTGATTTGCTAGCATAAAGCTTACATAAAGATTTGACCATGTCCAGTTTTGACTGAGCATCCATTCTGGTTTGTTTGTAGGGAGACTATCTGGCAATAAATATTCCTCTTGATTTGCTTG